AAAAAAAAAAAAAAGAATCTGAGACCAACCTGAGCAAGAGCAAAACCCCATCTCTACTAAAAATAAAAATACTATCTGGGCATTGTGGCAGGCACTTGTAGTTCAACCTACTCAGGAAGCTGAGGCAAGAGAATTACTTGAGCCCAGGAGTTTGACATTGCTGTGAACTATGACACCAAGGCATTCTACCCAGTGTGACCAAGTGAGACTGTGTCTCAAAAAAAAAAAAAAAAAAAAAGAGAGAATAAAGCTTTGAAAAACTGAAAGCTGTTTTCACAGATCCTGCTTGTCTGTAAAACTGAAGCAATTTAGTTGGCTTGGGCAGGAGGTGGTTGAATGGGGTCACAAGAGAAGTTGTTGGACACGTTCTGAGTGTTCTTGAGTACACTGGTTTAATACAACTCATCTGAAGGAGGGGAAGCTTCTTGCAGAAACAAAATCAGACTAAAGTTTAATTTAGTTTACAAAGAAGATTATTGAGAAAGGAGGTTGGATTATTTAAATTTGATTTTTCCAAAGTATTTGAGATGTACTGTGACCAGCAGGACTAATGTATATTTCTAGTGGAAGGTTCATAGGAGAATAATATTTTGTGACTGTAGAAAGATATTTAAGAACATTTTGCTTTTTGAGTTAAGTTATATTTTAAAGTAATTTTGAAATGCCAAGAATCATAACAGAATTATAATTTGTTATAATTTTTTTTATATTAGGATCCAGTTTATGGAAAAGGAAAACTTGGAGAAATCCAAGGACTTATTCTGGGAATGTTAGATACCTTTAATTATGAACAAGTAAGTAAACTACTTACTATATCTCTGTTTGTCGTAAGGGAGAAAATAGCTATTTTTTTCTTTTTGAACATATACTTTTTTTCTTTAAAAATTACCACCTTTTTACGGGAATTGAGATAGATCGAAGTATATGTTCAGTTTGTTTCTATTTTTAAATTTCTCTTGGCCTTAATACATATACACCACACATGTACACATTCCAGAATGTGGAAGTACATCTGATTCAGATTTATTTTCTTCTTTTGATTTCTCGCCAATGAGACAAGTATCATTTTATCAAAATGAAAGTATGAGAAGCTTTCTATAAAAATAGTTAATGAGTTAACCCATAAAAAGAAAAGGGGTCAGCATGCATATACAGAATTATAAAATAAAATTATATGAGTGTTCTTTTAAACACTCTGTATCAGATGTTTGCCACTAACCCAAAAATGGTCATCAGTCTTAACTTTAAATTGCCAGTAATGTTAATTCTCAGTAAGAACCAGCTTGAAATATTGATTTTTTTTCCTGAGCATACTTCAAAGTGACTCATTAAGCCACCTAAGAAAAGTGTCATTTAGACATAAGAATCTGAGAGGAGAAAAAAAAAGTCTGGATAGCAGAGGATTTCTTAGAGCACTGGAAGAGTCACAATTTGGCCAAGCTCAGCCCAGTGAAGCCTGATCTCCCTGCAGGCATACATTCCTGGGAAGAGAAGTAAAGTTGGGTGCAAGGCAAAAAATTTTTGCCAATTTTGGAGCTATAGAAGGGGGGAGCAGGGAAGATGCACTGATTGGAAAGAAATAGAATAGATAATTAGAACTAAAAGTTGTTGGTTCAATGCCCATAGCACAGTGGTTACGGCGCTAAGCACATACACTGAGGCTGGCAGGTTCGAAACCGGCCCGGGCCAGCTAAACAACAATGACAACTGCAACAAAAAGTAGCCGAGTGTTGTGGGGGGCACCTGTAGTTCCAGCTACTTGGGAAACTGAGGCAAGAGGATCACTTAAGCCCAAGAGTTTGAGGTTGCTGTAAGCTGTGACACCACAGCACTCTACCAAGGGCAACATAGTAAGACTCTGTCTCAAAAAAAAAAAACAACTAAAAGTTTTGGGTTACTTTTGGGACTAACAGAAAAGAATCCAACTACATACCCAAGTGATATATTGAGTGTTGAGAATTAGTTATAATATGGAAATAATACTTTATAAGCACATAGAGCCTTAAAATAACTTAATGTGATATCTGTGAATACATTTTTATGGGACTCAATGACAGATGTCACAGTCTCAAGTAGATTCAGATGACTTATAAGTGCTGATCAGGAAAATGTGATCTCTCTGCCCAAGTAAGATGAAAACTGAGTAATGGCCATTAGCTTTTCCAGTGAAGGGTTATTTGAAACATTGCCATGAATGCAATTTCAATAAAAAATCAGGGATCCAGATTGGAGTGTGTTTTTTGTTAAAACACTCTGAGCTGTTCAAAGAGAAGTTATTATATAATATAAATGCAATAAATAAATAGATTTAAGCTAATCTAGTCATTTGAAAGCCATCAGTACTGAATTAAACCACAAAATGGGAAAGCACACATTTGTCAGTAGTAAGTAGTGACCACCTTAAGAGTCTTAATATATACGATCATCATTTCCTGCACAGTAAGATGAAGTGCTTGGGTGTGGGGAGTTTGATGTTTGTTTCTTTCATCAATTTTATCCCATTATAGCATATTTTGAATTCTGGTTGTTTAGTTGAAAACTAAACAAATGTTAATCCCCATTTATCTCCTCTGTCTCTTTCATTTTGTAACCATTTATTTGTTTATTTATTTGTTTATTGTCTTGGTTTTTCATAGACTTTGCTGGAAACGACGACTAGCCTTCTAAACCAAGATCTCCACTGGTCATTGTGTAACCTGAGAGCTTCAGTCACCAGAGGACTGAATCCCAAACAGGACTACTGCTCTATATGTTTGCAGCAGTACAAGAGACGCCAAGAGACAGCTGACGAAATTATTGTGTTCAGGTAAGGGAGGGAAGGATATGTTACATGTGTGCTGTGTGCACATACATGTCATTACCAGGCAGGAATACATGTGGCTACATAGCCAGGAAGTCATCCCAGCAGTGAGCACAACAGGCAAGTTCCTCCCTAATAGACCTTGCAGTCTGTGTGGGAGTGAGGAGAGCTGGAGTTTAGGGTCCTCAGGAAATAAATCAATAGAGGAATAAGAGCTATGAAGAAAAATAAAACACGGGGGATGTTTGTGTTCAGGATGAAATGGAAGGATGAAGTGTTTAGGATGAAAGTGCTATTCAATGAGGGCAGACATCACTAAAGAGATGACTTCTTAGCAGAATGAGAGAGGCAGGGGTGATGGTGCTGAGAGGTGTTTGGATTGTGAATGCATTTTAAGGGTAGAGCTAATTTGCTGGGGTAATAGATAATGGAGTGTGGGGGAAATGAAGTCTTTGGCCTGAGCATCCGGTTGAACATGGTCCCATTGTCTAAGATGAGGAGGGACAGGTATATGGAGCTGGGGAAGTCAAGAGTTTTGTCTTACATGAGTAAAGTTTGAGATGACTATTAGACCTCTGAGCAGGAATGCTATGTAGACAGATATCCTAGTCAGAAATCTGTAGATGTATAGTCCCTGGAAATATAAATCACAAAATCATCAGCGTATAAATAACAATTAAGTTACAGTGCAAAGAGAGAAGAGGTCATATAGAAGTGAAGGGGTTGGCTCAGCACCTGTGGCTTAAGCAGCTAAGGCATGAGCCACATACACCTGAGTTGGCAAGGTTCGAATCCAGCCCAGGCCCGCCAAACAACAATGACGGCTGCAACCAAAAAATGCCGAGCGTTGTGGCAGGCTTGAGTCCAGGAGTTGGAGGTTACTGTCAGCTGTGATGCCATGGCATTCTACCCAGGGTGACAGCTTGAGGCTCTGTCTTGAAAAAAAAAAAAAAAAAGAAGTGAAGGGGTTGGTCTCAGGAGCAAAGGCAGGGCATCTGCTATATATGAACAGAGGAAACCATGGGGACTCAGAGCCAAGCTTCTTAAGTGTAAATCTTGACTTTACCACATGTCAGCTGAGCGACTTCGGATAAGTTTTTTAGTCTCTTTATATCTTAGTTTCCTCATCTGTAAATTCAGATAATAGTAGGTGACTCCTAGGGTTTCATGAAAATTAAACAGGATAATTTACGTACAGCAGTTATAACGGTGTCTGTGGGGCACGAAGACTATATATGTAAGTGTCAGTTATGCAGAAAGAGTGGTAGATTTGGTGGTTGGGAGGGGAAGAAGTTCCCATCACACAAAGAATCCATTCATTCAACAAATATTTATTGAGCACCTGCTGCATGTCAGCTACTGTTCAAGGACATAGGGTACAGAATGAACAAAACATAGGATCTGCCCTCATGGAGTTTGCATTCTAGTGGCAGTGGCATGCAATAAACATACAAGGAAAATGCTAGATAGTGGTAACTACTATGGAGGAGAAAACAAGGGAGATAGAATGTTCAGGGGATGGGGCATTTTATATAGAGTGGTCAGGGAAAGACTCATTGTTAAATGACTTATGAACAGATTATTAAAAAATTAATAAGAAAATAATAATTACATGAATAAAAGCAAAACATGGTGTAGAAGAAAGAGAATATTGGGAACTATTAATTTATAGAGTAGTCAGGGAAAGCCTCACTGTTTAAGTGACATTTGAGCAGAGACCTAAAGGAAGTGGCTGTGCACATCCAGAGAGAATTTCCAGGAGGAAGGTCTGCAGTGCTGAGGCTGTGAGGTAGAGGCGTTCCTGAGGAGTGGTGAGGGGTGGGCTAGAGGTACCTGAACAGAATGAAGCAAGGAGATGATGAGAGAGGACTTCAGAGGGGGAGCAAAGGCTTGCCAAATCACGAAAGAACTGGGTCTTTATGAAGAGTCAGACTTCTTTTTTTTTTTTTTTTGAGGCAGAGTCTCACTATGTCATCTGTGGTAGAGTCCTGTGGTGTCACATCTCACAGCAACCTCCAACTCCTGGGCTTAAACAATTCTCTTGCCTCAGCCTCCTGAGTAGCTGGGACTACAGGCGCCCACTGCAACACCCAGCTATTTTTTGGGTTGCAGTTGTCATTGTTTAGCAGATCTGGGCTGGGCTCAAAACCACCAGCTTCGGTATATGTGGCTGGCGCCCTGCTCACTGAGCTATGGGTGCTGACCCCAAGAGTCAGACTTTTCTGAGATGAGAAGCCACCAGATGATTTGAGGATAGGGGTGACATGATCTGACCTATGTCTTAAGGATCACTCTGACTGCCCTGTAAGCCGACTGACCACTCAGGCTATTGCAGGAGCCCATGTGAGAGATGGGCCAGGGAAATGGTAATGAAGTCAGACGCAGGAGATGCTGAGTCTATTCTGAAGATAGAGCTGATAGTTTCTGTTTATAGATTGAATATGGGGTGTGATAGAAACTAATCAAGTATGACTCCAGAGTTTTTGGCCTTAGAAACTATAAGAATATAGTTACCATGTTGAGATGTGGACGGTTGGATAAGAGCATGCAGGGGAGAGAGTTGGATGGAAGTCAGTTGATTGGGACATGTTAAATTTAAGGTGCCTCCTAGATATCCAAAGTAGAGTTCTTGAGGAGAGGGCTTAGGGGAAGAGATCTGGACTGAAGGTATGAAGCAGGCAGTCATCAGGAATAGCTGGTATTTCAAAGCTATGGGACCAGTAAGTAATCATTAAAGAGGTGGTTATAAAAAAGTATAAAAGAGAAAGCTTATATTAATATATAGAAAGAGAAAACTAGCCTGGCGTGGTAGTGCATGCCTGTAATCCTAGCTACTCAGGAGGCTGAAGCAGAAGGATTGATGACTTTAGCCTGAGAGTTTGAGTTTGTTCTGAGCTACCATGACACCACTGCACTTTACCCAGGGTGATAGAGTAAGACTCTGTCTCCAAATAAATAAATTTTAAAAAGAATGCCTTTAAAAATATACACACACACACACATATAAAGAGAGAGAATAGAGAGAATTAACTTCTGAGGAAGTCCAACATTTCAGGTCAGAGATACGGGAAGAAATCAGTAAAGAAGACTGAGAATTGGGTGGCGCCTACGGCTCAAAGGAGTAGGGCACTGGCCCCATATGCCGGAGGTGGTGGGTTCAAACCCAGCCCCGGCCAAAAACTTCAAAAAAAAAAAAAAGAAGACTGAGACTCCCACTCAACTTCTAGGAGACTCGTTTGGTAATTTAGCATAATCAGTAGGGAGTGTCTTCACAGAAATAATGTAAAGATTTACTCTAGCAAAGACAATTTTGTAAATGTTTAATTAAATCAAAATATTTGCCTTGAATTGGATGAGGCAGACCACTTGTTATTATAATTATTTTTCCCAATTCTCTTTTCTTCAAACTATCTAAAAAGACTGTTAGAGTTTCATAGTTTGAGAAATGAGCAGAAGCTCTTGTCATCCTCTAGGTGGTTTGTATCCAGGAACTGTGGTTCTGGTTCCTATTTACAACTTAAATATATACAAATACATAGGTCCCCATGAGAATTGGGGACAGACTATGTTGTGGTCTATTATTTCACTTCCAAGAAACACAGTCGGCATTGTCCTTTCTGATTCACCCGTGCGAGTGTCAGTGTGCTCGGCTCATCTGTGAGGCTAGGAGGGATTCATTTGTTTCTGTCCACGTGGACTTTACCTTTCTTCATTTTCTCATAAGAACCCTGAGATTTTTAAAAAGAGAAGAGAGAAACAAGTATATTTCCTTTCTTATGTCTTATCCTATACAACATTCTAATTAACTGTATTCCAGCTTATTAGAAATCATTATTGCTTATAAGCACACTCTTACCATAGCTTACGTTTATGGATTTTATCATAATGAAAAGTACAAATTGGTTGCCTTTGTTTTGCAGCTGCGGCCATTTGTATCACTCATTCTGTCTACAAAACAAAGAATGTACCACAGAAATTGAGGGCCAGACAAGATGGACGTGTTACAAATGCAGTTCAAGTAATAAAGCAGGAAAACTAAGTGAAAATTCATCTGAAATTAAAAAGGGAAGGATAGCCCCATCACAGGTAAGATGTGTTTGTGGCAAGATAAAGATAGGCTTGTGTTACCCATGTCATTTAGGCTTGGCCTCATATTCTTCAGGTCCTGTGGACCTTAGCAAATTTACCTGGTGGGTACTGAGTGCTTGAAGTCTTCTGTTCAGTCCTCTTTAGTGTTGAAGAGCCTCTCCTCTATTTTCAGCACTAAAAAGCATGGATCAGAGAATAACAGAAGTCATTTTCTGCTCTTGAGAAATGTAAGATCTACTTGAACAGGTAGAATATATACACATGAGCCTGCTTTTAAGAACCTTTGACAGAATAACAGGTCAGCAAGTACAAATGAGTATTTGCAATACTTACAACTGTGAAGTAGGGCTGCTGATGGACAGAGTACCCACTCATATGTTCTGTACATGGTTCAGGTGGTCCTCTTGCCTCAGCCTCCTGAGTAGCTGGGACTACAGGTGCCCACCATGACACCTGCATAATTTTCTTCTATTTTTAATAGAGATGGGGTCTCACTCTTGCTCAGGCTGGTCTTAAATCCCTGAGCTCAAAGGATCTTCCTGCCTAAGCCTCTCAGAATACTAGGATTGCAGGCGTGAGCCACCATGTCCCACATTTACCACCTTTTTTTAAAGCAGGAATCGGAGCAGAGTTTGAACTCTTCTGCTTAATAACTTTAGGAACTCTTCTGCTTAATAACCTTAGGGAGAGCAAAACTTGACAACAGGAGGTGCTCGGTGTGAAGTTACTAGGGCTGTGACTTGATCGCTGTGCTGTGCTCGGTCAGCTACGCTTCCTCTCTGAAGTGGCATAACATTGCTACTTCTACTCCTGCCTTTATGCCATCCTGTCCTGTAGTCGGCCCTCACATCCCGTAGCGAAAAGTCAGACCCGTTACTCTTCTCTTTCTGTTTCGTCAACTTTGAATCTTGTATCAGAAGCAGAGCCAGGGAAGATCTCATGACTAGTTTCTCTTCCAGGTAACAACTTAGAATTTTCTCTTCCAGGTAACAACTTAGAATTTTTGCACTCTAGTGCTGGGCATTGCATTTATGTATTTGTCCAGTATGTATTGAGCAGTGTGCTAGGCACCATGCTTGGTGCTATGGACATAATGGAGGGTAAGACAAACACAGTCTTGTCTTGTGGCGTTTATAGTCAATGAAATTATTAACAGATTTTGAATAAGTACTCTCAAGTTTTTTTCTGACTCCAAATATGTGCTGTCTTTTCCAACACCAATTTCAACTAATTCTGTTAATTCTCTGGGTACCAGATCATTATCAAAAAAATTAGTTCAATTCTGACACTACCTGGAGTTAGTGTCAGAATTGTTATACTGCACGGTTTGGGGGTTCAGTCCCACAATACTGCCCTCAGTTCAGATGCCAGCCACAAGTGAGGTACCCAGGCTACCCACATTTTTCTCTAACTTTGCTACAAATTCAAAGGTCCCTATGACCTCCCTCAGGTTTGATAATTGACTAATATGATTCGTAGAACTCAGAAAAACACTTTATTTACATTTACTCATTTATTATAACAGATATAATTGAGGAACAGCCAAATAAAGAGATGCATAGGGCAGGGTTGGGAGTGAGGGTGGGGCCAAGGAGTAGCAGAGATTCCATGTCCTCTCTGGATCCACCACCTCCCAGCACTTCAGTGTCTTCATCAACACAGAAACTTCTTGAACCCTACAATTTAGAGATTTTTATGGAGATTTTATTAGGTGGTCATGACTGGCCATTGGTGATTACACTCAATCTTCAGCCTTTCTCCTCTTCTGCACGTACCCATACGAGTGGGTACTCCGTCCATCAGCAGCCCTGCTTCACAGTTGTAAGTATTGCAAATACTCATTTGTACTTGCTGACCTGTTATTCTGTCAAAGGTTCTTAAAAGCAGGCTCATGTGTATATATTCTACCTGTTCAAGGAGATCTTACGTTTCTCAAGAGCAGAAAATGACTTCTGTTACTCTCTGATCCATGTTTTTTAGTGCTGAAAATAGAGGAGAGGCTCTTCAACCCTAAAGAGGACTGAAGTTTGAGTGCAATCAAAGTTCCAACCCTCTAATCATGGCTTGATCTTTCTGGCAAGCAGCTCTCCTGCTGAAGCTATTTAGGGGTTTTCAGCTGCCAGTCATGTCGTTAGCACACAAAAGGCACACCTACCACTCTGTGCTGGGAACCTGAGGCAAAGGCCACATACATAGTTTTTATTATACCACAGTCACTTACAGATGAACTTTACTATAGGGACAGATAACAAGTAGAACTAAACTACACATGAGGGATCATGGAATGCTTCCTAGAAAGGCCATGTCAGCTGCCGCTGAAGGAAAAAAGTAAGTTAAATAAGTGTAAGTGCAAGAGTAGGCAGGAGGAGAAGGATTGCAGGCAGAGGGAACAGTGTATAGGATAAACATAGAACTGGAAGTTGAATGATTGTTAATTATTTTGATGTTGTGCTGAAAGAACAGGAAGGACATTGAGGGTTTTTAAGGAAGAAATATACTCTGACCAGAATAGTATTTTTAAGAGAGCACTTTAAATGAAGTGCAGAAAATTAATTAAAAAGGAAGCAAGAATGGATGCAGGGAGACCAGAGACTCTTGAAGTCATTGAGAGGCGAAAAGCGTTAAGTTGTAGGTACTAGAATGGGAGAAGTAGGGATGGAGAAGAGTGTGTGTTTGAGATGAGCACGCACATCCACGTGATCCCCGTGGTCCCCGCTCACCTCGTGAGCCTCAGCTCATCGCACACTCTTTCACCCTGTAGGTGCAGCTACACTCAACTTCTAGTCCCATGTTCTCTTCTGCTGCACAGCAGAGATGCCATGTTTGAGAAGTAGAATTATCACTTCCTGATGATAACTCCATTGGATGGAGGAGGTAAGGCAGGAAGAGGTGTCTAAGGCAGTATCCGGATTTTATAATTAAACAACTGAATGAATGGTGTACTGTTTAGTAAGACAGAGAACATTAAACAACTTTGGGAGTAAGATAAGGAGTTCACTGTTAGAGTTAGAGACACCTGCAGAACATGCAGGTAAAGATGTTCAGTATGGTTTTCATAATGAAAATTTTTTGAATTAGATATCCCACATGCTTATTTGTTTGCATTCAGGAAAGAAAGATAAGCCGTGTGATGGCCAGCATTTTTCAAGCTGAATCCAAATCCAGATTGTGGAACCTGTATGCAAATACTTAAGGCATTAGATCTTGAGGCACTTCAATTTTCCCCCCTCTCTTGTAATATACAATAATATACATGAAATCATAGTTGGTTATGAATAGCCCTATAGTAATATTGCCTGGGTATTATCAATTAGATAACTCTTTTTCCTAGGTAGTACTGGGCACTAAAATGGACCTTTTTTCTTTAATTTAAAAACAGTAAAATTTACCCTCTGTGAATTTTGACAGCCACCTCCACAGTTGAGGTATAGAGCAGACCCCTCAGAAGTCCCTACTACCTCTTAGTAGCCAACTTTCCCCTCTCCACCCTCACCCTCAACCCCTGGCAACCACTGATCCATTTTGAGTTAATTTTTATACAGGATGTGAAGTATGGATTGAGGTTTATTCTTTTGCATGTGGATATTAACTGATTTGCCTTTGTACCTTGGACAAAAATCAATTGATGTTCTATCTGTGGGTCTGTTTTCAACCTGTCTCTTCTGTTCCATTGATCTCTGTGTCTATCCTTTCTTCAATAACGTAGCTTTAGAGTGAATCTGGTTATCAGGTAGGTGGAGTCCTCCAACTTCATTCTTCTTTCTAATATTTAACTGTTATTTGACTATTCTACTTCCTTTGCCTTTCATTATAAAGTTGAAAGCCTACAGATCAATTTAGAAAGAGTTAACATCTCAACAATATTTAATCTACCAATCTATGAACATTATATGATCTTTTTTTGTTTCATCAATGTTTTCTAGTTTTCAGTATATAAACCTTGCACATGCTTTGTCAGATTTATTTCTAAGTATTTAATGATAGTTGTGCTATTGTGTATTTTACTGTTTTATTATATATTTCAATTTCCAAGTGTCCATTGCTAGTGTACAACAATAGAATTAATTTTCATGTATCGACCTTGTATCCAGTGACCTTGTTTAGTTTACTAATACTAGTACTTTCTTTAGGTTTTTTTATATGTAAACAATCATGTTATATACCAAAAAAAGATGATTTTATTTCTTCCTTTTCAATCTTACGTTTTTTATTTCTTATTCTTGACTTGTTGCACTGACCTTTAGCACAGTGTTGAATAGGAGTGGTGAGTAGACATCCTTGGCTTGTTCTTTATCTTAGGAAAAAAGTCTTTCATTTTTAATTTTAACCCTTAAGGGTAACATTAATTATAGGCTTTTTATATGTAATTTTTATATCGTATTTAGGAAATTCCCTTTTATTCCCTTTTTACCTAGAATTTTTTCATAAATGAGTGTTGGATTTTGAAGCCTTTTACACTACCTAGGTTGCCCTCTTCCCACGTCCCCACACCTCACACAGTTAAGAAAGACAATAATCCATTACACTGACTATCCTCCTACCTTCTCTCCAAGCATCTAGAAAGGGGAAATCTGTATGTCCCCAACATATAGTTGAATATAGTTGTCAACAGTGACTTCGTTTATGAGGTTTTACCATTCTCCTGGATAAGGAGATGATCCAGCTTTTTCATTGCTTAGGAAACTCTAGTAAGATCAAATCTAGAGCTTCTGAATGATGGTTTATAAGCTAAAATGAAAACTATTTTGATTTTTCTTAAAATTCCCTCTAGCTCTGTCTTCCTTTATTTTCTTACATAGATAATGTAAAAGGAGATAGTAGGTTGGTAACATAAGAAAGAAGAGGAAGTGAAATTTGCATTATACATGCATTAGATGTTTTTATTTTATGTCTTCACAGTAATGAAAGTGATATAGTCCTTATTTTACAGCTGAAGGAACTTTATGTAGCCCAGAGAGGGAAGGGCAGTATTTGAATTGAAGTGTATAGGACCATCA